CTTATCCTCCTTTTGTTCGTTCCCTAGAACGGAAACAAAGATAGAAAGCAATAAAAGGCGTTAGTTTCCACGGAAAACCAGTTTTCCATCTACTTCTCGAAAACTAGACTTTGCACTAAAAAACAGATTAGAAGCCCACTGCCGATTATATGACTTGAAAGCCAAATAGAAGACCACTGGTCCTCTATTATGTCCCCGAAAAAAATCGGAAATGCCCTATACCTATAGGAGAATTTTCAAAAACATTTCACCAGAACGTACTTCTAATAGGAGATGAATTGCAAGTTAGTGGGGGTTACCGTTGGACTACTAGCAGGCGACAAAATTTGACCGCAATAGAAGACCACCCTATAGAACTCGACTTGCGGGACAAAATAGAAGACCAGGTGGTCTTCTATTATGAGGGGGAGGGGGGTTATACATATATTAGCTAATATGATTATATGATTGAAAATATATTTCATTGTCGATAATGAACCGTCACAAGAGTCTGTTCTTATCCGTATAATCGGTATTGTTCTATAGTTCTCTTGCAATTTTACTGACACACTCGTTTTACTACGAGGTGATTGTCCTTTCGTCAAAAATCTTTATTTTTCAATTATATGATTATTCCACTTTATTTTGAATCATTTTTAAAGAAAGATTTTTAGACAAAGTTTGTTACACAGATATTATTTATAGTGAATAAGTTATACTGTGAAATAGACTAGTCGTTTCATTAACCTTTTTATCTGGATGAAACTCACGTGCACGTCGTTTATAGTCTGCACGAATTTCATCTTGTGTCGCATTTGCAGTTACATCTGACCATTTATAAGGATCTTTTTCTTGTAAATTTGAAACAGTTCTGTAATGAAGACAAAAAGGAAAACGTGTGTGATATCTCGTACCTTTGCAGGTTCTGCAATAGCTCTCAGCTATGTCAAAATTTTTATGGGTCCAGCAGAGCACATGTCATTAGTGCAGGGCGTCACGTGTGCATATTATCAAACGATCACTATAAACTTAAAATGAGTACCAAAGTGTTGACTCTCTCTAGTAAGAAACGTGAAGATTCACGGTTAGTGTTGGTTCTTTACCTGCATAGAGTCAACATGGAGACTAAATTTTCATTTTCAGTTTTGAATTTCTTATCAGTGTTTACTATTTTCAGCTCTTTCTCTTTGTCACCTCTAGTAACATTTTACCGACCTTGATAAAAAATAAGAGTGAAATACAGTCTCTGCTTCGCATTATCTCTAATACGTTATTCAAACAAAATAATCCGAACTTACGAGCACTAGTCATTTCTACAATCAAAATGTATGACGCGGATGATCTATTCAAAAGTGTCGATTTATTTTAATATCATCTCCTACTTTTAAATGAGTTACAAAGAACCAACGACAGCGACGGTCAAAACGATCCGTTAATCAATGGTGGCGTTCATATTCTTCTTCCAATTGACAATCTGTCTACTGCATCCATACGTAATCTGACAGCATTGATTCAACCGTTGTTGGCTAAATTAAACGCTAAAATTTATGAGGCATTGAAAGCTAGTACCTACAAAGCCTGTCCAGAAACGATGAAAGTATTACTCGATCCTAAGAATTATTTCCTCGGACAGTTGAAACAGTTACTCCAACAGTGTCTCGGTCGATTACAATTGTCAGAAGTGCAACCGCCAGAATATCGTTCAAAACTCTATTTCGTCGAAACCATGACATTCAAATTAGAAAATAACGTTGTTGAATCTTTGAATTCTGCACACAATGCTCTACTTTGTCATCCGTATGACGACACGATGGAAAGTCTTATTCTGTTTGTTGATCATTCAAATTTTCATTCAACACTACAACGGTCACTTTTGAATGATATTAAACAACGTCCATTGTCCCTGGTTGATATCACACCGCCAACAAAGTTAATGAATTTAAATTTTTTGAAAAGGACAGAACGTTTAATTATGTTAAAGAAATATGAACGTTCAATTTTAAGACGAATGGCTGAGAGTGATCCTGTTCAAGCAGCATACTCTTATATTGATTTAATTTTGGCAGTATCTGGAAGTTACTCTCTCTTTGCTACAAATTTAATTATATGTTTATATTTCTTTAAAACAATGAATAATCCTAAAGCAACGACGGGTGAATTGTACGCTTATCGTTCTATTGTCTATGAGATATCATTCGAAACCTTTCTTGTCACACGACATCATGTATCGTTATACATTCAAATGTATCTCTATAAACTACTATATACAGTGATTGTACGCTCATCTGAATTGTTTGCTAAACGAATTACCACCTTGTCGGTTCAGAAACGTAGAACTGGAAGTGAACCACTCATGAATGGCGATCACGAAAGACTACTAGATGAATTATTGAAAAACATAGTTCATTTGTCCAAAGTTACTCCCTTTACACACGCACCACCAACAGCACTGGTTCATGATACGATCTATCTACAGTGTGCTGGTAACGAATTCCTTTCAAAATATTTAAAATTAATGTCTCCACGTTCTACAATGTATCGATACTACTTTTTCGAAGCTATTTGGAAAGGTTGGATTGATGATGAAAATTTCAATCAGGAACGTAAAAATTGTATGGGAGATTTTTTAGATGATCATGGTTGGTACACGGAAGATGTAGAAGATTTACTTTGCTGGTCATTGGTACCACGCACAGATGATGGATGGTTCTTGAATACAAAACATCAATTACAATTACAAAAGCCAGCCTATTCACAAGTTATCGATGTAACACTGAACAATGATACAGGCGAGATTGAATTTTAGTTTACCAAAGCTAAGAAGAGTGAACATAGTCTCTTCGATGTAGAAGATGTCTTCGATGTTTTAAGAAACGGTATTACATTTGCCTACTTTACGTTAGATCCGCCTAGTACTGTCTATCACTCACATCCATTCAATGAAATGAGATATCTGCCAAAACGTCTTCGAAAAACACCGAATTATTTGCTTACACTATTACACACTGATTATTTATTAAAAATGATTTCAATAGGAGTAGAAATTTGTTCCTTTGAACCATTTCAAATGCGTTCATCAGCTGAGAATCTATGCAACGATTGCCTGAACATATACGAGAAGAATTACAAGCTATTGCTGTTAAAAAATCTGGTATTTTAAGAGATAGTGTTCAGCGGTTTTGGATACAGGCTGAATGTGATGTTCAATATGAACAAACATATTATAGAAATTTCTTTGGTAGAACAAATGAAAATATTGCACAATTTTATTTAGGTGATAATTTGAAGATGTGTGTTAAAACACATCGAATGAAATACGATGAAAAAGGTAATTTGATCGATGATCAAAGGGATAGTGAAAGTGATCAATCAGCTGAAGCTGAATTTGCCCGTGTCTTTACTAAATATTATGATGAAATTGGTGAGTATTTTCCCGAATTTTTGCGTCTCAAAGAATTATTAAAATTAGGCGTATTATCGCGTATTATACAAGGACGATATGAAAGCCAACGTGAACTGGCCCCTCGAATTGAAAATGATAGGGATTTAGACGACTATTTAACAAATATCAAACAGAAAATTTCTCATTATCCTACTGGTTCGAATGAAACTGATGAAAAGATTTTGAATGCTATATCCAAAAGCTTATGCAAACAATTTTATTGTAAAAAAGGTAATTTAAAACCATATTTGTTAGACTGGTTATCGCACGGACGATAACAAGCGTTGTCAAAATATGTTAAACAATCATTAATTCAAGAAAAAGCAAAATTGAAGCCGACAATTGAAAAATTGCATTTTTACTATGACGATGATAGTGAGAAAGATAGTGAAATGAGTAATAATTCAACACAATGTTCCTGGGTATCAGCAGCCTTTTCATCTGAACTCAATATGAAAGTTTACGGTGGTGTGCAACTAAGTGGAAAACTTAAAGAAACACAGGGATTAAAAGAAAAGCACGAAAAAGATAAATCCATAACAAAAGAAGTTGCCATAGATTTGATTCGAGTAATTGATAAAATTATAATCAAAAAGCAAGCTGATGAAAAGAGAGGTGAAGAGATAGCTCAAGGTAAGACTTATCATTTTAAAGTTCGTCACTATGTTTTGCTTATTTCGTTTTCTTTGTTTTTCATATGATAACAACAGCATTATTAACCGTGCCGCCTGAATTAGTATCCTTAGTCAAAGATACTTTTTCACATGTTAATTCCAGCACCTTAATATCATTCCTTAAGAGAAATGCAGGTGAAATTCTGTTTTATCGTCACTTAGGCAATGACGTTGTGCTAGGCTATATTAAAGACAATTTAAAAAGATCGACAACTAGCGGCGATGATGGGGGCAAAGTTCAGAAGATTATATATGGTTTAATAGCGGAATATCTGCCTACGGATACAAAGAAAGAAAATACACCTAATTATTTTAAAAGAGGTTGTGGAGGCAATGTAGCACGAAAAGAGTTTGAAAATTTGTCTGGCACACCAATCGCAAAACCTATGAAAGGCAAAACACAAGATGTTAAATTAATAGTGAAAGATTTAAATAATGGCCAACGAGCAACACTACGTCCGAGTGCCACTACGTCCGAGTGCACAAGGCAATTTAACATTAGACATATTACAGAAAAATGTAAACAATGAGTGGGAATCGAAGATGAAAATTCGATATGACGTTAAATTCTCCGCTTAATGACGAAGGCATGACTATTGACATATACTTTACGAATAACTCAATTGTATTTATTGAAAAAATCTTCTTTTAGCATCTTTTAATCACTACTACGCTCCATGCATATTATGCAAGGGGGGGAAAGCGCACTCCGTCACTCGGAGTGGCTCGGAGCTTCTCGGAGGGGCACGAAGTGGTTCGGAGTGTCGTCGGCTTAAGGAAACTTAAGGAATTTTATTCACCTTAAAGCTAAATCAGAGACTGCTGAATTAACACTTTCACTGCCGTATACGTCGTATGACGTATTCACGAATGTTTGTCGCCGTTGCCAACGTCGTTCGACGTATTCATATTGAAAGTGAGACAGGATCAAGGGGGAAAAAGCGGACTCCTGGGATCCCATGGACTCCTGGACTTCAGGAGTCCATAGGAGTCCAGGAGTCCGCTTTTTCCCCCTTGGACAGGATACATATGCAAAAAAATGCCGGTCGCTGAGGATAAATCCCTTATTTGGAACGCCCGGCAGTGAAAGTGTTAACAAAGTTGGCTTTCTCTATCTTTTTATCCAATAGGTCTGTAACATGAGTAAGTTTTCAATTTTTACAGTATGAAGGGCCAACGGATTATGATTAATTTCAGTACTCAAGGGTTTTGAGCGATGTTCTGTCCGATGGCTAATTCGAAATAATTTTAAAAGTGACGAGAGTAGAGATTTCAGAAAACCAAGGTTTTTCACCCAACCATTTACAGAAAATAATTTATTTTTGAATTTTTCTTCTATGCGTCTGCTCAGAACGGAATTACTTTTATATAGAAAGATAGAGAGGTTGTCGCGCTACAAAAGGAGACGTCACAGAGCTCTGAGCGACATTTTCTCATGAAATAGCATTCAATTTATAAAAAGACGTAAGGGAATGTCTTTCTCGCTCTGCCGTTGATTTTGTTGGTATGCGATCTTTTGTAAATTGAGTGCTGTTTCGTGAAAAAGTATCCCACAGAGTGTGCGGACGTCTAGTTTTGTTTAGCAATATGTGCTCTGCACGACTGGATTATTTACAAAGAATTTCTAGACCGCATTCCGGATTTAGTTTTCTGACATTTTGGTTTTCCAGAGATCCTGACTTTAAAAATTTTGATAGAACCTTCACGTACAACACATCAGCTTGGAAATTATTTCGGCTATTTAAATCTTTTTTCAGATTTTTTCTTCTTTTTATGTTGAGGAAAAATACATAAAACACATCGTTTCCATAATATCTAGGTGAAGATATTTCTCTAGTATTTTGATAATTTCTATATGGGCATAGTTTCAGAAAGCTTATTTATAGTTCATTTTGTAGCGTAGAGGATTCTCTACCTGTTTGTATATGAGTTCTTGTCAAATGATTCTGAAATCATATGGAAACTTTGAGGAACAAAGTGAGTGACCATTGCTCAAATGGTGACGAAAAATGAGAAGAAAGTTTATTTTCAAGGATACTAGGAGCACTTTTTGAGCGTGGGCAGTGTTGGGAAGTGAAAACGTATTGCCATCATTTTTGCTCAAAATCATACTGGGTCATTTTTCTTACAGAAACTGTTTTTCTTCATACACAAACAGTTTTTGTACACTCGCTTATGATATATACGCTACCCTCCATAGTTAGAATGAGTACACTGGTATAAGGAGAAATACGATTGAATTGTTTTAAGGGTCCTACTCCCTCAGAAATTATCTCCGACACAGTACATCCGATTTTGGCCAAACTTTCCATAAATGTTAGGTTTAATGAGTTACGGGAATAAAAATTTTTTATTGTCTTCAAGTCTTACGGTTTAGCAGTTTTCCAGATATCAAGGTCCAAAAGAACCCTGAAGTTTTTACCAAGATTTTTTAATATAGTTCTAGCTGGAGAGCTCGGGTTTGTTTTATTTTAAACTAGACATCTAACTACATGGACTGACCGGCGCCGATTTTTCAATTAAGCCTTTATTGGATTTCCATGCAACCAACAACCTCCAAAACCCCATGAAAAACTATAAGGTGATGACCCGATTTTTCGAGGCTCCTAGAAAACTTGCGAAAAATCACTTCTGTAACCAAAAGCGATACAGATTCTAGAAGTAGACATTTCAGGCTATCTTCCCATGTGCATATCTCAAAACCAATTTTTTGACCGAAAATCACCATTTCTAAGGGGGACCCTTAAATTGATTCCTTTTTTCAATAGTCTTCCATAACACTAGGAAGAAATTACTTTTACGAAATATGAATGGCTCCTTTAAAGCAGAAAGTTTAGAAATTACACAAGAACCAGCGAGATACTTTTTTTTTGATCGTTCATCTACTTCTCTTCGCTTCCTCAGCATGACTAAAAGACAGTTGGAGATTGAAAGTTCTGCGTCTTCGAAAGTGTTCAAACTACGCTCGTTTTTATTGGAAAATAAAGCGAGAAACGAACTCTAGCTAATGATTATAAACAATAAGATGAAGTATTTGCAAAAACCGAAGTAAATTTGATATATAAAAATGTACAGATAACATCACAACTAAAAACTAAACATCGTAATATTTGTTTTTGTACATCATAATTATTCGCGATTTTGGTGGAGTTGACGTTGACGGGTGTTCGCCAGCTGTGAAGGTAATAAAGAGGCCAAGAGAAAGAAATTCGTTAGTTTTCACACAAACAAATTTGATCAGCTTCATCTCAGACAAGTTTAAAAGCCGAAAAATACTTTCTAAATCAGGTCTGTCTGTCTCCTAAGTTTTGTGTCGACTTTCTTCTTCTTCTTCACACACCCTCAAAGTTATTCAAAAAGAAAGTCTAGATTTGCTGTATGCAAGAAATAATCGACGGTAATACGGCACAAACACAAGACAAACCTTACCTAACACATATCTGATGATTAATCTCCATAAAAAGTTATCTTTACAACGGGAGCCGGACAGTTGCTCGCGGGGACAGTTGCTCGCGGACACTTGCTCGCGGACACTTGCTCGCCAGGACACTTACTCGCTAGGACATTTGCTCGCTAGGACACTTACTCGCTAGGACATTTGCTCGCTAGGACACTTGCTCGCCAAAAATTGGAAATTAACTTGATTACTTGTACTCAAACGCTATCTCCCAAATTCACCGATTATAAGAAGAATCACACAACAGAATCAAAC